CTCACCAGAACACTCATGGTCAGTGTTACAGAACTGTTATTTGGGTTGTGAGCTGCTTGTTGCTGGTTTTGTACATTTAAGATAGAAAGAAGTAAATGTGCCTGCTATGACCACATTATGAATTCCTAGCTAAATTCTAACCTCTGTACTCAGGTGAAAGACTTCTAAATCTTTCTGTCTTACACTTAATCTTCATTAAATAAATAAATAAAATAAATCTTACACTAAATCTTCCAGGGTCAGATCCTGTGAACCCTTAACACAAAGGTAGAATAAATACACAAGAAAAACTTGTAAGGTCTGGTCTCTCTTGGAGAATATTTCAGAAATAAAAAGGATTTCACTCCTCAAAAATTATTAGGGTTACTGTACAATTGACTTGGGAAGATAAACTTATACAAAGGTTGTAGCTGAGAAGTGCATCTGTGAAGGGAATCTCTCAGTAAAGGGAACAAAAGCAATCTGGAAATAATGCAAACTGGTGATATACTCACAAATATTCCTAATATCAATGCACAAAACAAAATTCATAAACTCCATTCAATTAACAGAATGGAAATATTCAATCTGCCTGTTAAGTAATAAAGCAATATCAATTTCTGTGTGGCTGAATCTTCATTATTAGGCCTTGTAACTAGGAGGGCTATTTCCTGAAAGAAGCTTCATCTTACTGATTCAAACCAGAGAACTACCCCAAGATACTCCTCATGCAGCTCCCACTGCAAGCCTGGGTTGGTGTCAGTGGATGTCTGCATTGCAGAAGTACTACTATTTGAAAATCCTCATCTAGACTGCAAACCTCACATTGGTTATGACTGACATATTTTGTATACCTTTTTGCTAACTTTCCTCTTCATTTCCTTCTATTTCAAAAGAAAATGATGCCTTCATGCATGAGTATGCTTCAGAGTATGCATCTCCAGCAGCATTTCACGTTATCTGAGAACAATGACACTTTTCCCCTGTCATCCCTACCTACAGAGCTTCTAGTTCTTCCTCTTTAGCTTAGGTGGAAGCATCTATTAATCCCAGGGTTTTCCATACTGGTCTTTGCTCAGCTCTAACTTACTCCTCTTGAAGTGCAAATCACCTTCCTCTGCTGCAGCACGTGAATGAAGACAGTAAGTACTGCAACAAAAAAGGAAAGGAATGTCATATACTCAAGTGACACTGCAATTACCTACCAGCATCAGAAACAAACTGCTCAATCCATTAATTTTTTACCAGTTGTGCAAGGCCTTCCTTCCAAAAAAATAGTATTGTTACCCAAGAGAAGACCTAAGTTCAGACAAAACTCAGAATTCAAATGGAGGTTCTCTTCTCATGGATGCCATGGCAAAGCTTGTGGTGCATGATCAGCTTCTGCAGACAGCAAAAGCCTGAAGCACTACACACTTCACCAATCACATGGTGCTGTCTTGAGCTGCTTTTCATGCAGCTCTCATGGGTCCTCAGGAAAAAAAAAATCATATATGTAATACCCTTCCCAGGAGACTAAAAGCATTTGCAAGTACTTAAAATGAGCATTTGACTCAGCGACTGCAAGTTTTTTGAGTGTCTAAAAACCAGCGAATTCTGATTCTGCTTTCAGTTCTTCCTCTTAACTTGTAAAGCTCATGTGACTGCATCAGTGCTTTATTTTCCCCAGATGTAACAGCTACCATTGCATCTCTTGCACAAATGTTGCAAGGCTTTAATTGCCGCATCGTATTGCCAAAAGATACCTCCTAGTACAAGCTCTTGCTTGCAAGTAGTATGTACTTCTTTTTATTTATTTCAAGCAAATACCTCTTCCTTGGGAGGCTTTTAGTAAGGTATTAGTTTGTATTAATGTAATGTACTAATATATCATACTGATACTGTATTCCATCTTTGCTGAGATGCACGGATTAGTTGGAGAATGGAAACTCTGAATCTTCTTTAAAAATCTTATTTCTGGAAACGTCTGCTTCTTGTATCATGTACAGATAGGTACAAACAGGATCATAACACTTCAGGTTGTTAAGAATGTCAGAGATCTCTTCTGCTCAAACCAGGGTCATCAGTGATCCCTGATCAGTTTGCTGAGGGAATTATGTAGTCTGGTCTTTAAAACTTTCAAAAACAGATTCCATACAACCTCTCTGGGCTACCTGTCTCCATGTATGATTGTCCTTGTGGGGCTAAGTATTTTACTTGTATCCAGTCTGAACCTTTGTTTCAACATATGCCTTTTGTCTCTGATTCTTTGATGCCTGCCACTGTGTTGAGTCTGGCAGTTCCCTGAGGAACTCTTTATAAAGACTGGAAGGCTGCTGTTAGGTCCCCCCTAGCCTCCCTTTCTGCAGGCTGAGCAAGCCCACCCTCACCCTCTGCTCAGAGCTCAGCCTCCAGCCCCAGCCACTTCAGTGGCTCTGCAGAACCCCAGGTCTTCAAAAACCTCCTTGTACTGGGGGAGAAAAACTGGACCCAGGGTTATAAACGTCACCTACTGGGTGCTGAGCAGGAGGGAATAATCACTTCCCTCCATGTCCTCGCTGCACTGCTGCTCATACAGACCAGGATGCTCCTGGCTGTCCTTGTTGCCAGGGGCTGTGGCTGGCTCATGTCCAGTTTGCTGTTCACCAGGACCTCCAGGCCTTTTTGGCAGGGCTGCTCCTTGGCCTCTACCACTACCAATACCAGTGCTTGAAAGAATTGCCTTGTTTATTTAAACACAGAGAAATGGATATAAAAAGTCTGCAGAAGCACCTGAACCCTGATGTGTTCAAAGGCTACAACCAAGATTTGTTCTGAAAAAAACCAGACTCCTCCATATGTCTCTCTGTGAGCTGGTAGCTTGGAACAGGTCACTTTCTCTAATTTCTCCACCCTCTCAGCACAGGAATATTAACTGAAAGATGTTTAAACTATGGTATTTTCACGAATTATTTCTTAGCAAATATTCTTATCAGAACAGCTGGAGAGATGGTAAAATTATGCTTCTTGAAGTGGTTTCTTATGTTCACAGCCTTAAGCAAAGGTCACTTTTTAAAGACCTAGCTTGTTTAAATTCATGTCCAGTCCGCAACCTGAACCAGCATTAATCAAGTAGCTACACAAAACATGCTTTTTGAGACTCCTCCTTAGAACTGTAATACTTTGACCAAAAGAGCTGAGCCTTTATGGCCTTTGCAAGAACACTTTTCCTTTACTATCAGAGGATCAAGAGGGAGCAATAACGTAGCTGCTGATGCATTTTTAAAAATAGCTTCAGATATTTCCAAGTGCAGGTACAGGCTAAACTATCAGAGAATTTAGAAACTCTGACAGGGTTTATAAGGACAGTTCTGCAGCATGAAATCCTATGAGCCCCAAATGGACTAAGGACAATGGCTTCAACTTCAGCAGTTTAGCTCTTGCAGAACAACATATGAAAGAAAAGCTCTTTAATCTTGTCTGTCCCATATGGAGAAGAACTGGGATGATACAATGATAAATTGCCATTTTATGCTTGACATAAATGTCAATCTTTTGCTTCTCAAACACATAACCTGCACATGCTGTATTATATCTTAAACTCGAATTCCTTCCCTTTAAAGCTATGTTATATTTGCAACACTGTAGCTTACCCAGAACCACAAAAACACTATGACAGTAATTGTTTCTCTTTTTCAGTTCTACTTATTAAGTAATGAGGGGTTCTTGGGTAGCAGGTGTAATAGACAAATACTTTTTCTGCAAACAGATTTCCCAGCCCCTCCTGGGAGATTATAGGGTGGCCTTGGCCAGGTAAGGCAACTGAAAACACTACTTGCATTTTTCAAACTGGTCACAGCAATTTCAGACTTTTCTTAAACATCACTGCAATGCACATTATCTCTGTACTATACATGTTGTATGATCTCTTGTCTTTATTTAAATTTCTTTTCTTGTATGTACTCACTAGCATGCAACAACCACCAAAACAACACTGAGGATGCAAAGTACGTAAATCTGAAAGCACAGATTGCCAGTTGAGGCAAAATAAGGCAGTCTTTGACTTTCCAAGATGCAGCTCTAAATGCAGTATTCCCTTCCTTTCCCCCACCCCCATTCCTTTTGTTATGGCAATACAAGGCACCACACACACATATTCAAAAAACTGTTCAATAAGAGGCAAACAGACCATGCTATAATATCTCATGCTGTTTATCCATCAAAAATCAGGTATTCTTAATTGAGCACCCTTGTCCCTCCAGATCATGATTGAGGGAACGGGGAAAGAGCAGATCAAAGGTTCTGATCCCTTTGCTAGAGTGGAGACATGAAATCAGAACCAAATACAAACTCCGAGCGGTATTGCATTACAGCAGGGCTCCTCTCGCTTTTCTTTTCACTCTTATTAAGACAAACGGACTTAAGCCTCCCGCCCTCCCACAAAACGCGGACCATGATGCGGATGCTGCCCGGCCGGTCCCCGCGTTACCCGGAGCCGCCGTCCCGGCACGGCGGGGCTGAGGCGGCCGGGCCGGGCTCGGAGCTCGCTCCGTCCCGGGGGAGCCGAGCGGAACCGCAGCCCGGCCCGGGGGATCGCCGCCGGTTCTCCCTCGCCTGGCGGGGGGCGGTGGCGGCGCCTCCCCGGGCACAGCGGGGACAAGCGGGAGGGCGGCAGCCCCCGGTGCCGGAGCCCCGCGCCGCCGACCGCGACGGCGCCGGCCGCTCCGCCATGCCGCAGGGGCTCCCCTTCACCCCCGCTCCCCGTCCGCTTGCGGGCAGCTCGGTTGCCAGGGGATGGGGATGGGGATGAAGATGAGGATGCGATAAAGCGGGGGCAGCCGCTCGCGGGGAGAGCAGCCCCCAGCCCCGATTCGAGGGGAGCATCGGCCGTGCTGGCGGGGGCCGGAGGCGTGCCCGGGGGCTCCCCTCTCCCCTGAGGGGACCCGCGGGATGCTGCCGCCCCACCCCCGACGGAGCCGCCCGTGCCCGCGACGACCCCGGCCGGCGGACGGTATGTCCGTCTGTCGGTCGGTCACACCCCGCCCTGCGCCCCCGGTCCTTACCGCGGTGCAGCGGCGGGGCCGGTCCCGGGCAGCGGGGCAGCCGCAGCCGCAGCCGCTCTTTTGTGTGGCTGCCGAGCGCCGCACACCGCGGCGGGCCCGCCCGGGAACCTGCCTGCGCCAGCGCCCGGGAACCTGCATGGCGCATAGCGCCCGCGCCGCCTCACGGCCCCGGCGGGAGCGGGGGGGCGGCCCCGGGCCCCGCGCAGCCCGGGGGGCTCGGCGGGACGCACTGACCTGCCCGCCATCCACCTCCGGACCGGGGCCGGGCACCGTGCCAGCTCCGCGTGTGCCGCACTCGTCGGCGGCAGCCAGCGACAGGACGAGGAGCAATGGCCATAAACTGAAGCACAAGTTTCACCTCAGCGTGAGGGAGAACTTCTTCACATAGAGGGTGGCACAGCGCTGGCAGAGCTGCCCGGGGAGGCTGTGGCGTCTCCCTCTCTGAAGACACTCCGAACCCACCTGGACGCGTTCCCGTGTCACCCGCTGCAGGTGCCCGTGCCTCCCAGCCCCAGCAGCTGTGGCTCAGTGACCGTGTCCAGGAGCGGGCACTGGGCAGAGCAGGCCGCGGCCCCGGCCCCAGCTCCCTCCCGAGCCCCTGGAGCCGCGGCTGCCACAGCGATGTTTGCTGGACGCCCGCATCCCGCTGTGGACTCGGCAAGGCCGCTCTGTATCCCCGCGGACCCGCTTCGGCGCTGGGCCGGAGCTGAGGGTGTTTTCTGGGAGTCTCCACAGCATCTCTGTGCGAATAACATTGCTGAATGCCATGTCATCCTGCTAGGTGATCGCCTCACCTTTCCCTGTTGCTTGAGGTGCTCCTAAAAGCCAAACACCAAAAGTTTGAACATTATAGCAGGGGACAGCACTGGACTCAGTCACGTTCCATCGTGCGGCCAGATTTATGAGAACAAATCACGATTTTTGTGCCCTTGTGCAAATAATACATAGATCCACCCCTAAAGTTTAATAATGTAGGAGTCAATGTGTGCTGTTTAAAAGCTCACTGAAGAGGGTTTCTCCAAAAACATTTCTTGGGGTGGGTGATAAACACAGTTAGTTCCTCAGGCCTTTTATTAGAAACCTCTAGATCTTTTGAGGGAAGCTAGGTGATAGTGACTATTTTGTATACAAAGAAACGCGTATCTTAGAGCAATTCTGACAGGCTTTGCTAATACTTATGCAAATTTGAGATAGTAGCTAATCTTTCTCACTACAGCAAAAGTAAAAAGCTGTCCTGATGTAATTACACTGCACTGCAATCAGCCAGGTATCCGTGTTTACTGTAATAGCTGTGTGCTCAGAGTGGTGTGTGTTCATTTTGCCCTGGTGTTAGCACCAAGGCACATCCCATGTACATGCAAAGGTCTTCATGGAAACACCATTTTGTGGGTTGTTTTTTTTTAGTTTAGTTGTTAAGATTTTTGTTAAATCTCCATTTGCTGCTAAGAGGCTGTTTTCTGTCATGGTTTTCTATGGTGACTTTTCCCATCTGTCCCTTTCTACATCCCAATTACTTGACAGATTTTGGTTTTCTTTTGAGGATACTAAAAACTCAAAACATTACCCAAACTGTAATGCATGTATGTTTTACACAGAACTGCAGTGTATGATCTGTAGACAGGTTGTTAAAACATTTGGCAAAGATCTTGTAATTCATATTATTAATTCTCAAAGTTGTTAACTTGATGAAACAGCCTCATATACATAATAAAGTCTCACTTCACTTTATCAAAATACCAAAAGCACTATTTCCAGCCCAACAGGGCAGGTGTTTTCTTTATGAAGTTACTGCAGCTGTAAATATTGTACCACAGCTGACCTCTCAAAGACTTCAGAGGTCCCAAAGGGAGTAGGATATATTTTTTTTTTACTGTTTCAAATTTAAGTTTCTAACAAACATTCTCCTTCCACGTCATTTTGGAGGCAGTGACTCAGACAGATGGTTATTATGGAAAATTATATACAAAAATAGAAGGTAAAAATAGGGTGCATGATACCAGTCCATGAATGTCTCACTCTTCAATTTCTGTAAATAATCATTTCCATAAAAGCCAGCCATGGGTGCAGAGTTGGATATTCCCTTTATTTAATGCAAATTGTGCATCATCACATATCCTTTCTGGGTACCTGCAGTTACAAATTACTTCAGATCTTAAAATCATGTTTTGAACCTGTTAAAATTACTGAAAAAAATGCACTGTTAAAAATAAGTAAAAATTTTCATTAAAGATCTACTTCACAGAAGATATTAGTACCTATTTACTATTTTTGTATTAGCAGTAACACTTTAGATTAGATCTAGAAAAGTCATTAAATGCTTCAAAATGTATAATTACTTTAAAATGTATTAGAGAACTCTTCCTCATTTGTGAGTCTATGCTATGTACTCTGCAATTAGCAATGCTTTTTGACAACATGCCAGACAGTGTAAATGAACATTAAAATTGACAGTTAAGATAATTTTATAGATATTTAAAGATCATACAAGACACAAACATCCCTCCTTCACAATAAGATAAATATTTATTTCATAATTTTTCAAAGTGCTTTGACAATGCTTGTCAAAGGTGACAGATTTTGCATTCCTAAGTGGTTGAGGTCTTCCATTGGAAAATGTCAGCCCTAGGTTGATTAATTTATACATTGTTGTTTGATTCCATTTTCATATTAATTAACTAGTTGAACTTGATGATCTTATTCTGTTTGACAGCCTCAATTTGGCCAACATGGCAACTGCTTTGGTAAAGGAACTGATATTGAAACAATTAATTCTGAGTTTTTCTCTTAGTTAGGGGGTTCTTATGTCCAACTAACCCATGTCCAACTAACCATCACTACAGGAAGAATTCCTTGTAAGGACAGAATCAAATGAAGTGCCAAGGATATCATTGTCCATACACTCCTGGGGTAAGTACCTCAACCAGATAATGTAAACATCTCCATGTTTCATGGTCTTTCTATGAGACTTTAGCTTTATATGGTAATAATGAAAGCAACAGAATTCGGAATGAAATTTGGGTGCATTAATTGCAGAATAAGCATGACAGGAACAGAGTTTTTGCAGAATTGCAAAACTGTAAGGTTAGCTTTTAAAAAGCATGCAGTTAGTTCTTTTCCCAGCTTTTTAAGTTTGCTTCTAGGTTTGTCTCATCATAAGGAATGGGATTCATTCTGCAGCCTGTTCACCTCCTCTCACCTAGGAGTGACTTGAGGCCTGCAGAGAGGAAGTAAAAAAAGATACTTTGCATCATTTAATTATGAGCTCTTTAGCTGCCTGAGTAATGTTGATGGAGTCCAGAAAAATGTGTCTTTTCTGCTTTAGGCAGCATAAAATGGGAACATGCTTCAGCTCAGAGGGGAAAAAAGGCACATGGAGAGATTGGAACAGGGAATTCACACTTGACAAATGGCACAAGAGTGAGAAAATTTACTGGCAAAATGCTAACACTCCATCTTCTGAGAAGCTTGACATTATCAGAGAAGAAGGTTTTGCTGTTTTAAAAAATCCACCAAACAGACAAAAAACAAGAAAGAAGATCCTAATTCCCTTCCAAGACAATCAGGCTGCAGTTACTTGAATCACTGTTGTTCTTCCCAGAAGTTGTATAATGGTACAACATTAAATGTCCCTCCACTGAAAGAACAAATCACAGTTCTCTCATTCCCCCCCAGTTTCCATCCCTGAAATTCCACTGTTTTTCTGGGTGTTACTCCCCTCTTATAATCATGGCAGTGACAAAGAGTAAGGCCCATGTATGTAAGCCCTGTTCCAAACCTTTGGTAAGTCAGAACAACAACTTGTGAAAGCTGCCTGCCTTAAGGAGAGGTGAAGGATTACACAGCTGATAGGGGCTGATTCTGTTCCCACTGAAGTCTGAGGGAGTTAAGTTTATGAACAGGAACCTTCTCTCAGTTGTAGCTGTCTTCAGATCCTGTAGTTGTCTAGCTCCCGTGGCTATTCTCTAAGTCTATAGCTCCAGAAGGGGAAATTCTCTTGTCCTGTAGCACACACCCAGACAATTAAGGGGGCCTGATCCTATCAGTTTTTAAGAGCTTGTAAGAACATGATCCAGTTTTGTGTACCGATTAATTTGCAGCCCTAAACTGTGTTTTGCAGGGCTGGGGTTGTGTGTATGTGTGTGTTGGTGTTTTCTGGACTTCTGCCTTAGGAATTGTCAGAAAAAAGGTATAAACTGTGAGACAGGAACACAAGGGGGATAAAAGGTTGGGCTGAAGATCAAAAACGGCAATGCTTGCAGCCTTCTGAAGTGGTGTGGTGTGTATGGGTGAATGCTTAAAGCCTTCTGAAATTGTATGGGGAAACTCTGTGAGTTGTGGTTGTCTCAGCTGTGACACTACCTCAAGCTACTTACTCTGATATGTTGATAGATACCATACATAGAAGTCCATCTCCTTCAGACAGGACAAAGAAATGGAGAATGGACCATGGGAGGATGGTTTCTGTTGCATCAAACTAAGGGTATTTGGTTTAAAGACTTGTGTTCAATTATCTTATCCAGCTAGGCTTTTAGTATTGGCATTCCTATGCTGGTTTTGCAGAAAAGGTATCTCATTGTCTTTGACAGAAAGAAAAGGCAAAAGTGGCTTTGCTCATAGAATGTCTCCTAGAATGGACAAATCATCTTTCAGGATTATTAAATCATTCTGCATTTCTGTCATAAGTGTTAGGATTTCTAAATTTAAGCATTTTAGAATTTAGATTACAAACTACCCTCTAAACAGTGATTTGATGAAATTTAGGAACCCTGTGGAAGGCTGTGTTTTTCTTAAAACATGACAGAAGGAGTATTTATTTTAAGTACAAAACTATCTTCTTAAAAAAAATCATGGCTTTGTAGAGATTTTTTCAGAAGTAAAATTCATGAGGAAATGTCAGTGTCTTTAAAAACATGTTTAAATCTCAGGTCAACATTATATTTGTATTTTGTTGCTGAAAGCATGACATACATTGCAAATAATTCCATTAAGTAAAAAGTTGTAGACTAAAATCATCTTCATATCAAGCTGAAGGTTCTTACTGCATATGTAGAGATGTAGGAAAATTTAAAATTCAGATTGTAGTTAAGCTAGGAAAGTATGACTTTTTAACGCTTGAGAAGACTAAAGAAATAGTAAGTCTTCTATTTCTACAGCTGAAATATCAAAACAAACCTGTTATAGAAAGCATCAGGAAAAGACTGCTTGGGTAATATACACCAATCAAGTGAAGTCTGTTCATAAATAAGTTAACAAAACTGCCTGCAGCCTGTGACATCAGCATACTGGCGTGGTCTTTAATGCAAACAACTGTGTACAGAATTATGTGGAGTGTGCTTGCCACTGATTCTGTAAGTGCTTCTGCACAGGAAAGCCTTATTTGTAAACTAAGTGAAAAGGTTAATTGCTGCTTGTTCATGTCTCTTCAAGATGTCCTTCTGTGCAGAAAGCTTGGGAAAAAAAAACTTTAAGAAACCCGAAAAATGGGAAAACTAAAATGTCACAAGTACATTACAGTATGAAATATATGTCAGGCAAATAGTTTTCGGGTTCTCTTCTTGCATTGCCTGCATATCCACAAAGTTCATAAAACAAATAAATGAGGATTTGTGCATGTTAACTTCCTTGGCAGTAATTGTTATGCCAAGAAAAACTTATTTACTGATTGTAGACATCCATACAATAATATATGGGGTTTTTATTGCATGAACCAATCAATCAGTGTGAAGCACAGATGGTGAATGGTGAAAAGAGAAAACACAAGGTTTGTTTTCCTTTATTTCTGAAGAAAATGTCTAAGCTATTTTGTTGTCACTGGGAAGTGGGTTTCTGCTCTGAAATGTAGAGCAAAATAATGCAGCTTGACCTAGAAACTGTACAGTTTCTGTGGCTACAGAAGTAAAATCTTGCTGCAAACAGGCAACAAAAGATAAATTGCTATGGTACTTATGTAACTTAGCTCATGTATTTGTGTTTAGAATCACAGAGAATTCAAGAAATGCCAACATATTAATTCTGAAAATTAAATCAGCAATAACAACAAAGATAGACCCTAAATCTGTATCACTATTTCAGTACTCAAAAGCTGTACTTCATCCATGGGAACTTCAATGAACTTGTAAAGACTGAATACCACATCAATATTCCCAGCACCAGCTCAGGAACTTCACAACTCTTCTATTGTTTAATTTATGAATATTGCAGCTCAAGCTTGCTCAAGTTCCACAAGGACTCCATGGCAATCTTTAGGGTGAAGAAAAATCACAGGTTTGCCATGTGCACCTATTTTTGGCTCTTCACTCAATATTCGTATCTTTTTTTTCTTCAGTTCTGTCATAGCCGCTTTTATGTCATCAACCTTTTAAAAAAGATACAATTCACACAAATTAACATATTGCACTGTATTATGCAGATTTTACATTTTGGAGCAATAGCAGTTCCTTACTGAAATGTTATTTCTAAGTTCTAATATAATTCTGAAAATAAATTAAGTTGTAAACCATTTAAAAACGGAAGTATTTTTATTTTTAATACTACATGGAGTTTGCATTTTGAAGATTTGAAGATTTTATAAAACACTATTTAAATGGATTGTGCAATATTTAAGAAATTAATAAACTGAAATCACTCATGCAGAAAGACCATTGATCTTTTTGTTGTTACTTTATAAGGACTCCATAAATAATCTAAATTCTGCATTACTTTCTGCTCTCAATAACTAAAGAATAATACCTCCCTTTATCAATGATGACAGAGCACTGACTCATTAAATGGTGAAAAAGGGAGGGCAGTAGGCAGAAGGTAAAAGTCCCTTTTAGATTTATGTATTCTGCTTCTGAGTAGGTTAAGGTTCATTAAGTTTCCTAAGGAAAAAAGCTTGGAATAATCAAAAATATATCCAGATGTGGTCTTTGTATTGAACTTTACTATAATAACAGCCATTAATACAGTATTTCAGTACAGTTTCCTACAGAAATATGTAATTAACAAAAATACCTATACTGTATGCTGTGATCTGAAGTTCTGATGGCATGTCATCTAATGAAATTTTAATTTTCCTACAACTTAAATACATTCGTTTTTAAAAATAATAATGTTAGTACTCAGTTTAGAAAGTTCAATAGTCAATAATCAATAAAGACCTAGAATTGAAATAATATAATTGCTATTTTTCAAGACTGAGGTGTCTGGACATAATTTAGTGAATAAACTCTTCTCCCAATGCCATAGTAGGGAAGAAGGAAATTCCTAGCTTTAATTCAGAGGAACAGACATCACCTAATTCCTACCTATCTGCAGCAGTTTTGTTCATGAATATTCCAAACTCACTACAGCTCTTTCCACACACAACTACCAGTCTGCAAAACAAAAAGGAATGACTGTCAAATTATCTAAACTAGAGAGGCCACATGTGACATGTGCCATGGCCCCCTCCAGATTCTTTCCCCGAGCAGAAAAGCCACAGCAGCTGCTGCTCCTGTCCTGCAGAGATGGCCTGAAGAGGAGTCTGGGCTCAGCTGGAATGAATTCCTGCATCCCCAAGGATGAGTGACAGTAAACAATGGAAAGCCTTTGGGTGCATCCATGTTAGAAGAGGCTTGGATTGCTCTCTTACTCTGTTGTGTCCAGCATGGCTTTCACTGCAGGCATTAAATTGTAACTGGTCAGGAATAGTTTAATTCCCTCTTAAAATAGTTACCTTTTTTGAAACAAGCTGCCTATCAAAACATCTATTTTGTATAAGAGAGAAGAAATACAACAGCCTTGTATGTTAGTTCTTAACACAGGTCAAACCTATTGAAACATGCATACTTGAATGTATCTATCTCATTACAAGAATATTATGTTAAAATACCTCAATGCAGATATGATGCATTCCTCCAGTCTTGTTTTTTTGCAGGAAGCTTGCAATCGGACTTTTCTCTCCTAAAGGATGTAGAAGTTCCAGCTTGGTGTTTCCCAGCTCCACAAAAACAGTGTAGACACCATGTTCAGGAAGAGCAACAGTCTCACTCACCTGGGCTCCTAACACATCTTTATACAAGGACTGAGCTTTCTCCAAATCAGGCACTGCAATTGCCACGTGATTAAGTCGGCCCAGTTTCCACAAACAGCTTGGAATGTTTTGTGAGAAGGACTTTGATGATGATAGAGTTCGTACTGTGGGAGCAGAAGTCTGCAGTCTGCTAAGAAGCCCTGAAAAAAAAGTGAACAGCACTGACATGCTGCTTTTGAGAAAGTCTCAGTGCCTGCTCTTTCCCCTATAAAGGCCTGCAGAGCTGCCAAGTCATTGGCACACCCTTGTGCAATGCTCAGGGCAGACTGAGAGCAAGGAAGCAGTTACTCTGTTTTCAGAGTAAGTAAATATTCAGAAGTATTAAAATAATAATAAATAAAACCCCAAATCAGACTCAAATTTGGTGCAAATCCTTACATATGCCTGTTGAAAAGAGGAAAACAGGACCAATTGTAAAGGCCAACTGTATAATGTGTTTAAAAGTGACTTTTGAAATTTTCAGAGCTTCTTATGAAATAAAGAAATAAGGATATGCCTGTACATCTCAAAATTATAGCAAACAAACAAAAAGATCTCAAAAAATAAAGATATGAGGGTACTTACAAATTAATTACCTTAACAATTAATCTGTCAGTACTAGCATCTGGAGGGGTTGGGGGTGGGGACAAATTGTGATAGTATCAGTTGTTTCTAGAAGCAAAATTAGAATTAAAGGACATATTCATAAAAGCCGCATTTTAATTCCACACCAGTTTGCTTTAGGCCAAGTCAGAGCTCCCAATGCCTCAAGGCCAAGCTAGAGGCATCTCAGCATTCTGGGAGTCTTTGAGGCATTCTTTGCTTTAAAGTCACAAATGTGCTGTTTTGCTAAGAGGTTGTGCCAGCGATGCACTGAGATTCTGGATGCTTTGCAAACACTGAGGACAGATAGCCTGGCTGGGCTCTTGGTACTCTGTAAGGTCAGTAATAGCTGTAATTAATTAAATCAGCTTTGCTTCACAGTACGGAACTACCATTCCACAGGAGAACGACCATTCCACAGGAATCCCACATTCTGCCAGTTAACTTTTCTTCAAAAACTGATGAATCCTTAAACCTAAGTCTTTCTGAGCATGGAGCTGTGATGTAGGAAGAAATGTTTGCATGTATTTGACACTTACAACATGCAGTGTGCATATTAGCAAGGACTCAGTGTCACAAAAGTAAGTCTATTCACAATCTTTTGATGATACTAAATTAACATCCTACATTAAGTATTTCCAGAAACTTGTCCAGTGCTGCAAGTAACTGCCCTGCAGTATTTCTTGCCAGGCTTTCACACAGTCCATCCTGTCATCTCCTTCATCACAGCCAGAAGTTCTGGACAATTCTTTCGCTTGGTACCTTTAGGATATCATACTGGTATAGGACAGCAACTGCTTTTCAACTTTTTACATGTTAAAAAAATCCCTTAGAAATTTTCAGGCAAAAAAGAAATTTTTGTTTTTCAAATGTCTGTGCAGAAACTATTTTGTAGAAATACTTGCCATGTTCATGCCGCTGAGTCAGGGTGAACCAAGTAATTCTGTGAGGGAGCAGTGCTGTGCAATGCCTAAAATGCACGAGGTACAAACATGCAGGAACTAGGTGGCATGATTAAAGGCATGGCTAATTAACTAGTATAGGGTTTGACAGTTAACCAGAGTAAATAAATGTGTTACAAAAAGTAACAACCCCCCAATATCTGCTATGCAGTCTTTCCCGCCCACGTAAGTTTTCTTCTGAAGTAGCTCCATTTTGTACTGTAATTTCTTACGACATTATTCAATTCTTGCTGAAGCAAGAGATTTTTTTCCACTTGAAGGAAGGCAGTATTCTCTAAAGAAGAAAAATCCTTTGAAAGAGAAGGATCCCTTACTATATAACTTATTATGTTTTCCAGAGCCTTTTATGGTTTTATTCTTTCTTCCAAATATTAACAGACTGCAGTTCAATAGAAATACTACTAATGTAGGTATTTTTTTCAAGCAGTCTTTACTAATGGAAAGGCAAGGATTTTCCTATTCTTTCACATCTGACATCTCTAGTTCTTGCTGCACTTCACACACGGCATATGACCACACAGTTACTGTAATTTTATTTGGTTTTTTCTTTTTCAAGTAAATTGTCAAAGACACAGACTGTTTGTTACTCAGCAATTTGAGAAGCACTAGAAAAAACAATAGAAAATGTTCTTTCTTTTGGGTTCTGCCCCAAAAAAGTGAAGTATATTCCTAGGATTCTTGTAAAGTCAAAGATACTTATATGCTCACTCATATAAGCATTTATTCTATGAAGTCTTGTGAATTTATCCTAGCTCTAGTCAGATGCATACAGAGTATTAATTTTAAATCCATAATTGAATTGACTGAGATTAAACAAAAACCATTTGTGTTTTTCTTCAATTATCTAGATTAGTAACCATATAGATTACTTAAAATTTTAATCTTCTTCTAACCCAACAATCAAAAAATGGCCCTGCAGTGAAAAAGAAAGCTTTTCAGAAACTTCAAATTGAAACCCCATCACTTCCATGTTTCCAGGAAAGAAACACTTGTATTTATATATATACACATCTAAAACTAGTTCTGTATTATATAACTTTCTTCAGCTTCATTTGAAGAATATTTTTAAATTGATCTATTAGGGGTGTCATTCTATTGATGATTGACTATGCACATCAGAGCTTAAATATACAATTGTACCAGGTAAGGGTTACATTCTTTAACTGAGCAGATTATGAAGTAACAAGTCTGAAGTACCTCATAAACTGAGATCCTCATCCTTCAAATGTTTATTCATAGGCTTGTTTGTTGCTTCTGATGTGGAGCAGTGTTCATTGGCTTAATCAAGGAAACTAAGGAATCAAAAACAAGCCAAATCCAACTGAACTCAGTCTCATTCTCTGTGGGAAGGTTTTACAACAGTGGGTTGCAGTTAAAACCTTGTCACTGGGCACTGCTTTATTGTCACTCTTTCCAGGGGGAGATGAACTCCCAAAGCATGGAGAGGATGCTGTTACCATAGGGAATCTGGCACACAGGGGCTGTGTGTTCACTCTCTGGACCAAATGGAGAAAGGGCATAGTGTGGTCATTCTCAAATTCCAGCAATTTCAAGGTGGTGTGAGCATATTGGGAACTCTGGAAGCCAACTGGGCTCACAGCGCTGCTCTGCTCCTTGCTGGACGGGGCTTTTGGGAATCAGATGGGCTTCACAGTACAAGGAAAGTGAGTCTCAGTGTGCTGCAGCTCTTGTTCCCTCCTTCAAAGTGCAGTCATGCAATGGTGTTTTCATGCCCAGTATCCTACTGACCGAGCACTGACAGCACTGAGCCTCTCATTCACTTTTCTCATGGTCTGTAGTGACCAAGTGAAATTGTGTGGTTTGGGCATTGTGACTTCAACCCACCCTACCAGAGTGAGGTTATATCATGAACAGGAAATTATTTTGAGTTTGACCTCCAAACCACACTTCAAAAAAGACAAGCTCCTCCTTGCACCTTAAGTTTGGCGTTTGCTCTGTAAGTTTACCCTATGCGAGCTAAAGTCAGCTGTTAACGTGCCCGTCAGTCGGATCGGGAGACCTTGTTTTTATTTACAGAAGCGGCAGTTTGGTTCGGCCTGCGAGGCTCTCACGGGCAGATCCGCCAGGCCGGAGCAGGCACCGAGACCCGCGGCCGCCCCGTGGCGGAGCCGCCGCCGCCGCCCGCGCTCCCGCCGCCCTTCCCGCCGCCCTTCTCGCCGCCGCCCCGCGTTACCGGCCGCTCCGCGCCGCAGCACCGCCGCCATCTCACCGCCCGATCGGCCGCGGGCAGCGCCGCCCTCCCCGGCACCCTCGGTGCGGGCCCGGCAGCAGCGCAGCGTGTGGGCAGCGCCGTGTCACCGCGAGGGGCCGTGCCCGCCAGCACAGCGCGCCATTGGAGCGGCACCGCGCCGCTGAGGGGAGGCGGCCGCGCCCTCCCGGGGCCGTGCGCTCCCGGGGGCCGCGCGCTCCCGGGGGCCGTGCCTCCCCACAGGCCGTGCCCGCCGCAAGGGCCGTGCTCTCCCGGGGGCCGTGCCCTCCCGGGAACCGTGCCCTTGCGGAGGCCGTACCCTCCCACAGGCCGTGCCCTCCCTGGGGCCGCGCTGGGGAGGCGGCCGCGCCCTCCCGGGGCCGTGCGCTCCCGGGGGCCGTGCCCCCCCACGGGCCGTGCCCTCCCACAGGCCGTGCCCTCCCACAGGCCGTGCCCGCCCAGGTACCGTGCCCGCCCAGGTACCGTGCCCTCCCGGGGACCGTGCCCTCCCTGGGGCCGTGCCCTCCCACAGGCCGTGCCCTCCCCGGGGCACTGCACAGATCTGGGAGAGACCGAGGTAGAACGAAGTATTTGCCGAGGAAGTTTTCTGAGCAAATCCCACAGAAACAGGTTGGAAAAGACCTCCGAGATCATGGAGTCCAAACTATGACTGAACACGACCTTGTCGACTAAACCAGGGCTCTTAAGTGCCACATCCAGACTTAAACACTTCCAGGAACAGTAACTCCACCACCTCCCTAGGCAGCTCATTCAAATATCTAATCACCCTTTCTGTGAAGAAATTTCGTATGATGTCCAACCTAAATGTCCCCTGGTGCAGCTTGAGACCATGTCCTCCCGTCCCATCACCAGGACAAGTGACACCAGGAGGGTGATACGCTACAGCCTCCTGCTGTAGGGAGCCCTGGAGGGCAGTGAGGTCACCCCAAGTCTCCTTTTCTCCAGGCTGAGGCCTCCAGCTCCCTCAGCCGCTCCTCACCTGACTGGTGCTCCAGTTACTTTTCCAGTTCTGTTGCCATTCTCTGGACTTGCTCCAACACCTCAATGTCCTTCCTGAATTGAGAGGCCCAGAACTCAAGGGTGGCCTTACCAGTGCAGAGTACAGGGGAAGAATCACTTCCCTGACCTGCTGGCCTCACTATTCCTGGTACAGAGCGGGATGCCATAAACATTGTGCCAGAGAGACTGAGGACAGCGAGCAGGCTGTCTGCTGATGCTGCACTCTTGTGTGTCAGGCATAGCACACTGCGAGCTGTTGAGATATAGCCTGCATAGAGAGACAGCTTGTGCCACTTCAAATCTGACTTTATGTGATTAGTTAAAAGCACAGATTAAAATCAGTGGTCAAAATGGGTATTTGAAAGTCCCAATATATGACATTTTCAATTTCCAGCCCAGGTTGTGTGTCAGGTGTGTTTCTGATGCTCAGAGAATTTCAGGTACAGGTCACAGTCACAGCTCTGCTGGCTGGGCCCTGCTCCACGCCATGGTTTTTGGAGTGTGCAAAGTGACAGTGGGGAAACACAGAGGTGGCATTGCAGGGCACTGAAAAGACTTCATTTGTGAAAGCAGCAGAGGCAGGAGCAGTATTGAAATTAAAAGGTTAGTCACAGTTTTGCATCGAGTTGCAGAAGGGCTGTGTGGATGGCTGAAAACACAAGGGTCTGTGGGTGTAGGTCTTAATTTGACTTTATAAAATAAACTTTAAGGAAACCACGAGATGTAAGAGGGGAGCTGAAGAGCACTGGGCAGTGCTGTGCGGATGGTGCAGGGGTGTGTGCGTGCCTCGTTAGCCTGAACTTGTAGACACCAGGTGAGATCGGGTGTTTTGCCCACAAATCAGCTGGAAATGTGCAGTTCCAAAATAGCCCTTGTATCTAGGTCAGAGATTCAAAACTGTGAAGTAAGATGACTGTAGCTCCACTATATTTAGAGCACGCTTCCCAGTGCTGATGCACATCCCAGCCTACAGCAACACCGCGCCCGTCCCAGGGCGGGAAGCAGCAGCCATCGGGCATGACCGCCATACCCTGTGGGGGTTCTGGGAGAACGAGGCGCTTCTAACAGAGGGCTGGGCCAGGAGTACGGGGTGCTTTGGTTCAGGAGGCAGGAATGCCATGGCTGGGGAGGCAGGAATGCCACGGCTCGGGAAGCGGGGCGGGGCAGAGCTCCGCGGGCGGAACCGCTGTGTGCGGAACCGCTGTGTGCGGAACCTTGGCGGCGGCCGCGGGAGCCGCCCGGGCCTGAGCGCCGGGCGCACGGCGGGGGCGGTGCCGGGGCCCCACGTGTGCGCGGCGCGATGGCGGCGGTGCCGGCGCTCCCGGGGCTCCAGGGGATCCAGACGTGCCTCAGGGTGGCGGGAGCGGCGGCGGCGCGCCCCGAGTGCTTCCTCAGGTACCGCGGGGCGGCGGGGGAGGCATTGGTAGCCGTAGAGAAAAACCTGGAGGAGACTAGCCAGGTGTAAAAGTTGAGGGGTGAGGCGGTGGAGAAGCGCAGTGACCTCTGTGCCGCCTGGGGTCTGGCTCCTGGACCACTGAGGTGTTTAGTGCTGTACTGTTCACTTCCCCAAAATGCCTGGAGTGCTTAAATAAGATCAACGTGTTGTAAGATGCAGCTGGAGAAAGCTGGAATTTTCTGTCCAGCTGCCGCTTCATACACGAAGTGTAATAAAGCTGAAAGGATTAAGAATTTAGTGGGTTTTTTTTTTCTGTGACTGTAGGAGCAGTGCTCCAAGCCATGCGTTCTAAACATTTTGTACCTAATGCCTAGTTTGAATAGCACCTGCTTCTGAACACCTATCTGTTTTTTTTTTTTTTTTTCTGTGACTGTAGTAGCAGTGCTCCAAGCCAATGTGTGGAGAGCTAAGCCGCAGCAGTAACTATTGAAAGGTGCTGCTGTGTAGCACCAGAGAACCAAAGCAGGTACCAGAGCAGCAGTGTGGATGTGACTGACTTAGTGGAAAGTGCTAAGCTCTTTTATTTTTCTGCTCTCAGTGTGCAGGATGGACTGGCTGCCGACTTCAGAGCAATGACAAAGACTCTCTACGATCTCAATAAAGGAAGTGACATAGTTCGTGGGGGCCCTCTAAAAGAGCTGGTGATAGAAAATTTTGATGAAGAACAGATTTGGCAGCAACTGGAGCTCCAGAACAATGCAATTCTCAATTTCTTCAAGAAATCCATTGCAAGGGATGCGGAGGATGAAGACCTTTGCCTTCTCTCAGACCAGGAAGAGGATGGCTCTGATGCAGAGGCCAGCAGTGACAAGGAGTTGGAAGACAACATCATGGAAGCAGAACCTGAACAGATGGATGTTTATACAAAAGATAAAGATAAAACTAAAGCTAAAGAAAAGCAAAGTAAACTCAGAGAAAGCATAATGCAGAAAGACAGTGATGAGGATTCTGATATTGACTTTGATATTGAAGCACTGGAGCAACAAACTAAAGCAGCCAAGGAAACCACACTGAGAAGGAAGGGAAGGAAATCTGTAGTGGATGACAAGTTTTTCAAGCTAGCTGAGATGGAAGCTTTTTTAGAACATGCAGAGAAGGAAGACAGGGAAGAAGAAGAAGAAGAAGATGATATTAATTATTTTGAAGACATTATCTCAGATGATGAGGAAGACTCTGAAGAAGCTAAAATTAACGTAAGTTTTTTCCTTTAAATCAAAATCTGGTGTCTGTTAGGAGGACCATAAAGTGTTTAACTCTGTGTAGAAACTGCTAAGTTACATTTGTTTATGTGACTAATGATTACTTCTGAAGCTTTACTTTAACAATTAATATCTGGTAAGGAAATTCCCTGGTGTAGAAGGACATAGCATCCTGCTATTCCAGTCTCTCCTTACATGGGCCTTGGGCTTTTACATAAATAAAGGAAGAGATAATACCCATGGGAAATCAGGGACCTTGAAGAATTGCAGAATAGGTGACCCAGAAAATGAAAAATCTGGCAATTAGAGATCACTGAGGTGGCTGATGCAGAGCAAAGGGTTTTTTTCCCAGGGACCTTGCCTTGTAACTCTGATACAATTTAAATTGATGAGTGATTGATTCAAAAGTAAGTATTTTATTATTTAATATTACCAGACATTCTCACTAGCAAGTAAGAAATATACCCAGGGAATTAGTGTGCATTCCAACAAGAATTTGGCAAAATCTACAGCTCCTTGACTTCTGTATGTGCAAGTGGTAGAGAATTGTAAACACCAGGAAAAGAAATCAGTTTTACTGTGACACCCTACTACAGGTTAATGCACCACTCCCTGAATTACTGTTGCTCAAGTAGTGCACTAAAGACTTTAAAAGACAGGATACCCTTTGATTTCTGTCAGTCTTAACAGCTTTGGTTTGTTTGTTTTTTTTTTCTTTCCCTCTCACCTTTTTAGCCAATGAAAAGTTCCAGAGATATGACGTACAAAGATTTCTTTGATCTGGTTGATGATGATGATGGTGATGATGATGGTGATGATGATTTAGTAGCTAGTGATGCTGAAGAGGATCAGGAGGAGGAAGCAGACAGTGCCATTGAAGAGCAAAATGAAGAAAGTATGTCTGAGTAAGTAAAATGCAGGTAAAATGCCCTCATAATTTTACACTAAAGAAAGCAGAAAATACTGAGAATGCCACACTCACTCTGGTCATAGTTTGCCATTCTCAGTTAACTGTTGTATGTTCATGGTTTGTGTTGTCACCTTATTTATATTTTTAAAATATTGTCCTTTGATCTTTATTTGAGTAAAGCATTTAAAAGTTGTTCAGAGTTATTCTTATTATCCAGAAGTTTCCCTAATGTCCTCTGCCTTTAGGGGGATGCTTGAGACCTGTTGTAAACTGTAAGTTACTTGTAACAGGTAAACATCTGAAATATCCTCATGTGAAAAATTATAAAGGCTTCTCAACTTTTATTTTATATTAAATGGTTTTGTTACAGGTTTGAGGATATGGATGAAATGGTGGAGCACATGAGAAGTAAAGAAGCTTCTAAAAAAGTAACTTTCAGTTTGCCAGATGACAGTGAAACAGAAGATGTAACTGAAGTGCAATTAGAGAAGGGCTCCAGTCCCAGTGAAATAAAGTCATCATTTGAGAAGAGACAGGAAAAGGTAATTTTGGTTTGGTTTTCTTTGGGTTTCGTTCATATTTTATTTGGCTAATACTTTGAAACAGTGGCAAATACTTTTTTTT